AGGCTGCGGACGAGCCGAGGGCTGCGCTGAGAACGTTGCAGCTGTCACTATGGACGCGGAAGTGCGCTGACCTCGGTTTGCTTTAAAATAGGGTTCAGTTTCCCTGACAGTCGTATTTGGTCGAATACGACGGGAAATTCCCCTCCCCACCCCAGCCTAGACCCACTGCGCGGGCCGCGTAGCTCAGGCCGGTCCCACGCGGCGGTCAGTGCCCCGGCGCGTCCTCGGCTCCGGGAGCTGCCCTTGAGGCGCCGTGGGAGCACCCAGGCGACAGCTCCTAAAATAGTCGGACCTGCGCCTAGCCTAGCAGGAAGACAGTAATCGTGGGGTGAGTTTAAAAAAAATCTCCTTCCGACCGGCAGCTGCTTTTTAAAAGGATCGCTCCTGTCCCAACGCAGAAAATAACAAGTTTCGCAATTGTCGTGTCCCAAAAGGAACCTCATTGTTTACCTCCCGAAAACCAGCTGATAGTGTAGTGTGGGAACAGTGCTGTGTTGGCTCGCTAACCCACACCAGGACAACTTACTAACATTCTTTCTAAGAGTCATTTAAAAAGCGGCTTGAATCCTAAAAGGTCCTACCCTTAAAAAAATACTAAGTATGGGGACCAGCAGTTGGGGTAATGGCTGTGTCGCTGGACTCCCATGTAGGCGACAGCAGTTTGAATCCCGGACCTGGTGGCTTAAACTCACGCTAGGCGGTGTGTGTGCATGCCCAAGATCCTGAGAGGTGAATGGAGAAGGGATCGCGGCGTGGCCATCCCCCCTGGGGGGTGATTTCTCGCGTTCTGTCTCTCTGTCTTTCTGGCGACGTGCTCTATAGCAAAAACCTCGCCAAGAAAAAAAAAAAAAACAAAAACAAAAAAAACTAAGCATGACAGCCAAGACTACCGAGTACTGCAGTTTCCTATTCTGCTGGCTGTGTTTCTGTTCTGTAGTGGCTTATTTACATTTACCCCACAAAAATTACTCCCAACTTGCCTGTCTTTGAAAATCTCTGGGATAAGAGTGCAACTGATTATCTCCTTTTTTCCCTCTTTCTTTTTTGTTTTCTTAATAGAATTCAGCTACCCACCCGAGCAATATGAAGATTGTTTTTGTAGAACCTGCCATTTTTCTTAGTGCATTTGCTATGACATTGACCACTCCACTGACAACACAATATGTTTATAGGAGAATCTGGGAAGAAACTAGCAACTACAGTTTTGCATTTGATAGCAATATTTCTCAATGTGAAAAAAACAAAAGCAGCCCACTTTTTATATCCCAAGAGGTAAGAAATTAAAATGTCCCTACGATGTAATGAAAAGAGAATGTGTACCAGGATTTTAAATAGAAGAGGACACTGCCCATCATACACCGGCCTCTGGAGGGTAACCATCCAATTCCTCAGTCCCAAGCTGAGTGGCCTTTACCCAGTTCTCATTGTGTGCGAAGTCTCCTGACCACTCTATTCTACTTCCTCTTCCCAGGACCCCCTTCTGTGGAGGCACTAGCTCCTCTCCTTTCTCTTAGAAGATTTCAGCACTGTCTCATCCCCTCTGCTGCTGTCTACTTTGTCTGTGCCCCACACGCCCACACACACACATATGCACGCACCACTCCCAGTCTGAAAACTGGGCCAAGGCCTGAATGAACTGCCTTGTGGAGAGGGTGGTAGATATGACGCTTCTTCCTTTCCCCTGCTCTCTCCTTCCAGTCCCCTTCTACTGCATCTGCATGTCCCAGTTTTCAGGTACTTCAAAAAGTGGTCATCTCTGAAGACTGAGGGCCAATGTCTGTCATGGAGTGGGCCTGGGCAAGGGCGGCGCTTGTCATTTGTCATTTGGTGGTGGTATCAAGTGAGCTTGACTCCCACATGCTGAGTAGAGGCTATGAAGACATCCAGGAGAGGAGAGGACTCACCTTTGCTCTCAGACACAGGAGATGTTTTAGCCAGATGTTATGAAGCCTAGCCAGCTCCCTCTCCCCACTTTCTCATTTCTTTAAAATAGAAGGTACTTTGCCATTTTCCTGGGTCCCTGGGCAGTTTTAGATGAAGGTCTACCAATGTCCAAATGCAAGGGCGAGAACATTCAGGTTTGGAAATGCTTTTCCTGACCATGTCTTAAAAACAAACCATTCTTATAAACTTTGAACTCTACCCCTTAGGGGTATTTTGTGATATAAAGAGTGGTGCTGCCTTCCCGATCAATATAGAGGCATGTAGAAAACTTGAGTCATCTTCTGCTGGCTCAGAGGTTCTCTGAGCCTAGGAGGTGAGGCAGGAATAGGCAAAGAGGACCCAAGGGGACATGCTCTGCTGTTTCCCAAGGAGTTCCAGGTGTCAGGTGGAGCCCTGCTGTGGTGAGGGCAGCTGTTTGGCGCAGCCTCTGGCCTTACTCATTTCCTCATTGGCATGGGAGAAGTTTTCTTGGAACTAATTATTTCTGAGCAGTCATGCAGATACCAAGGTTCTGGCGTAGATTAGGATCATAAAAAAGGAAGGGCCAGTGTTCTCCCTCAGTGGTTTTGTCTCCTCTCAAGAGTGTCTCCTTATATGTCAGGAGTGCGAAGGTTCCCCAGGCTCATCAAGTTCAGTATTTGCTTCTGTGCTTTCCCTCTCTGGACCCCTTGTTCCCATGGGGTGGCCTGGGAGGAAAGGACCTCAATATCTGAAAAAGCCACTGTTCTTGGCCTCGTGAAGTGAGGGGAAACAAGCCTTGGTTCGACCACCCTGGTGGCCTCTGTGGTTGCACAGGTGATGAGTGTTGACTCCCCTCCATGCTGTCCAGGCCACTAAGATGCACCTCCCCACCACCACTGTCCAGGGCAGTGGTCCCATTTCCAAGATTTCTTTTTCTTTTTTTTTTTTTTTTTTTGAGAGATATATACTCACCAGAGAGATGAGAGAGAAAGAGAGAAAGAAAGTGAGAACTACCCCCCACCCTGCACTTTGTGTGAGTTCAAGCTGCCAGGTCTGGGACTTGAACCTCGGTCAGCCATGTGCAAGTTCAGTGCCTTAGCCACTATGCCATCTGCTGGTCTCTCATTTCAAGTAATTTTGCAAATTTATCACATTGATTATTTTTCCATGTTTTTTTTTTTTTTAATTAGATGACCATTCAATAGAACACATTACTCTAGATCCCTTCCCTTAAAGGTGATGTTCTTAAGTGGTAAGATGCAATGCTCTCTGAGGCTGACCGACATGGGAAGATCCCAGGTTCACATCTGCTGACCTCCCTGAACACATCAATTATGAGCCCAGGATCCAGGGCTGGCTGAGACTGAGGATGTATTGTAGCACCAGCCCTATTGGGAGTGCCCTCCCCCTTATCAAATAAATAAAACTTTAAAAATTGAAAATGCTTTTTTAAAAAAGTCGGTGTCCTTAGTTAGAACTCTGGGTGCTTTTTCTGAGTGGGGAACTAGATACCATCCACCCCCACCCTGCCACCCACAGCTGGAACTTGCCTTTTGCTGTTAAGATCTCTTCTTTTTAGGGTTACGAGAACTGTCCACAAATCCCTAGACTTTTTTTTGGAGAGCAAGTGGCTGGAGCCCACCCAGGTGTTAGAGACAGAAGCTCTGGGAACAGGAAATGCATGCTCTTGGCCTTAGAGGGAAGAGGATGTTCTCTGAGCAGCTCAGCAAAGATTGGATCCGAAAAACAGGACAGAAGGAAGTACTGAAGGCAATGGGGTAGCCTCTGGGGAAGCGAAAATGTTCCTTTGTCCCAAGTATTAAATTGGTGACCAGAGTCTGTTCTCACCAGGCAACTTTGGACTTGACTACTGGAGAGGGGTACCTTAGGGGCAATTCGACAGAGCCAGCAAGTGTTCTTGCTTGCAAATGTATTTATTGGGTTGTCAGAAAAACCATTTGCATTTTTGCATAGAAAAAAATACATCATGACTTTTCTGACAACCAAATATAAAACTTTTCACAACTAACACAATCCCTTTTTACCTGTGGGTTCTTACTTAGAGAAATGACAGACTGTTTTCTACTGAATTGGAATTAATGTATACATTTTAGCCCACGAAATTGTGACTTCTTTAAAATTGATATTGCCCTGCTTTAACTTACCCCTGCCTCAGTACATGGTCCTTCTGTTCAATATCAGATAGGAAACAGCATTTTTTAGATTCTGATTCCTCCCTGTACCCTTGTAATTATAACTGTAACATGTAATTATAATCTGCTGCTTAACCTTAATTTATAAAGGAAATATGCTTTGAGTTGTCCTTGTTGAAATCTGTATTTTAAAACATAGATTACAGATGAGGAGATAGTTTGTGTACAAAATTGGGTTAGGAATGATGATAGAAAAGGGAAATTAGGTGAAGGAGTAGAAATGGAGGGAGGAGCAAAACTAGAACATTTTATTGAGAAGTTAAGATCATTTTATTCAATAAATATTTTCTTGAGGGCTACTCTAGTTGTAGGACATACAAAGATATGCTTGGGAAGTCTAACTTAGTAAAAGTGAAAGAGCTAATTAGACACTGAGTATGAGCTGGGGCCTTGTGCCAAGCACCTAACGTTTATTTTAAATTGGACTTTTACAGCAGCTTGTGAAGTAGAGAGTGTTGTGACCCCCTTCTTGTCAGATGAAGACACCATAGAAATAAATGATTTGGTCAGGATCATACACAGCTAGCAAGTTAAAGAGGTCCTGGATTATTCATTAATTTGATCGATATCTGCTGAGTACCTATCCTGTTCCAAACCATGTTCTCCGAGCTGGGGATATGGTGGTAAAGAAGCAGAGTTTCTGCCTGCCTGTAGATTAAGTTGTAGTGAAGTAGGCAGTATTTGGTATTTTTGCAATTCGTTGATTGTTTAGGATGCCTTTTAGACAGCACATGAAAAAATATTTTTAAGTAAGCTTTCTATTTCCCTTTATAAAAATGACAAATACTCTGTGTTAAATTTGGAAAATACAGAGAAGTGATAAACAGCAAATGCTTTCTGTCTGATAACTAGTGTGACAATTGTCACATCTTCCAGTCTCTGTGTGTACCTATTTATCTGTCATCATTGTTTTGGTCCTTGGGCATTAAATTTATCTTTTTTTCCTTTCTTTCATGAAAGAGAGATAGAGAAAGGCAGGCACCCCCAACAGGGTCATCACACCACGATCCACCCTCGTCTTACGGGCTCCAGGTTATAGGCACACACTCACATGCCCAGCATGTACAGGGAGGCCCCAGGATGCAAACTTGGCACCCTTCTATGTGATCCAGTTGTATTACCACTATGCCACCCTCTGACCCTGAGTTTATCTTTTTTTTTTTAAATTTCTTCAGTGAGTGAGAGAGAGAGAGAGACAGAGATACAGCACCCTGATGCCACTACCCACCCTCAGCTCCAGTCAGTCCCTAATCATGGGCACATGTGTACCCAGTGTATTCAGGGAGATTTCTAGATGTGAACCAACAACCCTCCCATGTAGGCCTCACAGAGTTTCACGTTATTTTTCCTTTATAAAAATAATTATTTTATTTAATTTGGTCTGTTATTATCTTTTTATTTTTTAAATTTGCTATATGGCACATGCTAGAGAGAGAAAGTGAGAAAGTAAGCCACCAGGTCTAGCACTCAAACTGCGGTCTGTCATGTGGGAGTCCAGTGCCTTAACCACCATGCCACCTGCGGGCCCTACAGAGTGTCGCATTTTACCACTTTACTACCATTCAACCCCTCCAGAGTTTTTCTCATGCCACCATGTTTAATCAATACAGTGCTACTCTTTGGGTTTTATTGTATTTTTTTAACTTAATAAATAGAAATTTATCACTAATCTATTTGCGAAGACACAAGGAAAAAGGGCAATTGAGCTCTTCTAATATACGGGTCTGTCAAGCATGGTGTTTACATGTGCTAATTTTTTTCTCCTTTGGAACAGACAGGAAGACAAATCACAGGAAAGGATACTGCTTTTGCTTTAGAACAGTGGTCACAATCTCTCAGTGCAGACATTCGTAAAAGGAAAAACCGTACTACAGCTGGTAGCAGAGCCAGGGTCTACAGGTCCTCTGTATAAGATACACATTTGTCTTTAGCTCTCTGGTTGAAAATGTTACAGCATGGTTACAGTTTTTGCATTCAGCCCTTCTGATAAACTTGTCCAGATTGAATATGTGTTGGCTGCTACAGATGGAAGAGCCCCTTCAGTGAGAATTAAATCTACAAATGGTGTAGTATTAACAAACTGAGAAGAAACAGGAACCCATTCTGTATGATAAGCGAAGTGTACACAAAATGGAACTAATCATCAAGCACATCGGTTTGGCGTGTAGTGGCATGAGCCCAGAGTACAGAGTACTTGTGCACAGAGTTCAAAGACTAGCTCAGTAACACTACTGGGTTGTCAGAAAAGTCACAATGCATTTTTGCATAGAAAACACATCATGACTTTTTAAACAATCCAACATCTTGTTTACCAAGAGCTTATTCCCACGGATCAGATGATACAGAGAATAGCTTCCGTGATGCAAATATACCCCATCAGGTGGTGTTCATCCATTGGAGTTTCTTTTCTTTTTAAAAACATTATTTATTTAATTTTACTTCTTATTATTTTTTAAAATTTGACCACAGAGAGAGAGAGAAAGTGAGAAAGCAAACTGCCAGGTCCAGGACTGGAACTGCGGTCTGCCATGTGGGAGTCCAGTGCCTCAACCACCACACCACCTGTCGGCCCCTGGAGTTTCTTATTTGCGGTTGCAATGAGGGATGACTATATTTATTTCAGTCAGATGTAGTTAGTACTTACTCTGTCTGGAAAAGCCACAGCAATGGGGAAGAACTATGTGAACAGGAAAACTTGCCTTGAGAAAAGATGTAATGATGACGTGGAGCGTGAAGATGCCGTCCATACAGCCATCTTAACTCTAAAGGAAAGCTTTGAAGGGTAAATGACAGAGGATAATATAGAAGTCAGAATCTGCAATGAAGCTGGCCTTAGGCACCTTACTCCAACCAAAGTTAAGGATTATTTCGTTGCCATGGCATAATAATGAAGTGACTGAACAATCCGGAATTTCAGATCATCTGTTTACTTAACACGTTTAAAGTATGTTTGGTTTTTCAGACATTTGACATACTTACTTCCACATGGTTTAATCAACTAATGTTTAAATGATGATACTTATAAATGGTAATAAACTGTTCAATCAAAAAAGAAAAAAATGCACACATTTTTCTTTTTATGAGACCAAGACCCTACTGTGGCACTTGACTATCCTGACTGAGCATGGATGTCACCTTTTGATACTTATCTTTATGAACCAATAACAATTTAAACTGTATCAGACCTGAACATGCACCTGAGAGTCCCCGTCCTTACCCTTCTGGTAAAGTCAGGCAAAGAATGCACCATGACACAATTATACACCTTGTATATGTCTCTGTAAACACATTGTCTTTTCATTTCTTTGCAGGAAGTTCAGAAAAAAGCATCTCTTTTTAGTCTGCAGATGGACATGAGTGGATTAATTCCTGGCCTAGTGTCTACATTCATACTCTTGTCTATTAGTGATCACCACGGACGAAAACTCCCTATGATTTTGTCTTCTGCTGGTGCTCTTGCAACCAGCATTTGGCTCTGTTTGCTTTCCTATTTCGCTTTGCCATTCCAGCTTTTAATCGCATCCAGCTTTATTGGTGCACTCTGTGGCAATTATACCACATTTTGGGGAGCTTGCTTTGCCTATATAGTTGATCAGTGTAAAGAGCACAGACAAAAAATAATTCGAATAGCTATAATTGACTTTATACTTGGACTTGTTACTGGACTAACAGGACTGTCATCTGGCTACTTTATTAGAGAACTAGGTTTTGTCTGGTCATTTTTAATTATTGCTATGGCCCTTACTGTTAACCTGATTTATATTTTATTTTTTCTCGGTGATCCAGTAAAAGAGCCTTTATCTCAGAGCGTTACTATGTCATATAGTGAAAGCTTTAAAAGCTTATTTCAGCGAACTTACATGCTTTTTAAAAATGCTTCTAGCAAGCAGCGGTCTTTACTCTGTTTGTTACTTTTTACAATGATCACTTATTTTTTTGTGATAATTGGTATTGCTCCAATTTTTATCCTTTATGAATTAGATTCACCACTCTGCTGGAATGAAGTTTTTATAGGTTATGGATCAGCTTTGGGTAGTGTCTCTTTTTTGAGTAGTTTCCTAGGAATATGGATTTTTTCCCACTGTATAGAAGATATTCATATAGCCTTCATTGGAATTTTTACCACCATGGTAGGAATGGCTTTGACTGCTTTTGCCAAGACAACACTGGCCATGCTTTTAGGTGAGTTACAAATGGAGCCTTAGTACTAACTGTGCATTTGATATTTACATAATGAACTCAGTAGAAACATTCATTCTTGTTCAATTAAAAGTAAAAAGCTAGTCTGCCAGGAGCCAATAAGCTGAAAGCAAAATTGGACTACAGTTATTAACTACCTACCTCAGAACTGTTTATGTATGGTTTGAGTGGAAGACACTGCACTGGAAAAAGCTAGGGGACTGTAAAGTGAGACCTTGAGAAAGGTTCAGTAGATGAGGAAGGGCCAGCAGGTGGCATGGAGGTTAAGGCCCTGGATCCCCTCAAGGCCAACTGCAGTTTGAGTCCTGGATCCAGCGGCTTGAAAATCATGCCAGGTGCATGTGTGTGCATGCCCAAAATCCCAGGAGGAGAAAGAAGGAGATGGGATTGTAGCATGGTCATCACCCCTGGGGGTAATGTCTCACTCTCCCTCTCTTGATCTCTCTCTTTCTCTTTCTGGTGAGTACATGCACCCTATAGCAAAATACTAAAAAATAACTTTTTTAAATAAAATAATCTGAAAATGTAATATATTACTATTTTATGATATAACTAAAAATTCTATTGACTATTAAAGATCATAATTTAAGATCTTTAAGAGGTTGTTGGCATTCATGAAGTTATTCATCCCCAAAATTAATAAGCAATATGATTAATAATAATTTATTAATAAATGAATCTATATAGTATAGTAATGCCAACAGTAAGAATTCCAAGTCTGAAAAGCAAAAGGCTAAAATGGTAACAACAACAAAATAAAACAAAACAAAAACTAATTAGCAGTTATTACTTGCTACATAAGAGATGACTATAATAAATAATTAGGAAAATAAGCAGATTAGCCTCAATGTTGATTATATATACCTTCACCTAAAACTGACGTGAATTCTTGTTCTTAACAGTTAAATAAGGATTTTAGAATAAAGTGACTTTAAACTGATCTATCCATACTCTATTTTACTTAATTAGAAAGAATTTTTTATTAATCTGTTTTTCAGATACAGTAAGTTATGGTGGTTGTAGAAAATGGAATAGTCAGATGGAGGGTGTGTGTTTCATGCTACAAATGACCATTAGTTTTCTGACTTAGCCTGTGATTTCCAATCATTCCTCTCACAGTCAGGGTGCCGTTCCTTTTCGTTATTGTGCCACTGTCTGTTCTGCGGTCCATGTTGTCAAAAGTGGTTCCTTCTACTGAACAAGGTAAGCCTAACTTGCTAAGGAATATAATGAGTCTGCTGTCTGTACCAACTCAAATCCATGTACAATCAATGATTAATGGTTCAGAATATTTTCATAACCTTTTTTCTACTAGGATCTCCTTTTGAATTAAATGGTAGGCTCTGTTGGGGAGAGCCTTACACTCAGGCAAGGGAGCCCCTGCTATAAGCTTCATACTTTCTTTAAAATAATTACTTATTTCATTTTATTTATTTATTCGTTTATTTTAATTTGATGAGAGAGAGAGATGAAGTAAGAAAGCAAGCCACCAGGTCCAGGACTCAAACCATGGTCGGCCATGTGGGACTGTCCAGAACCTTAACCACCATGCCACCTGCTGGTCCAGAAAGCCTCATATTTTGGAGGGCTTACTCTGGTCTATCTTTGACCATGCCCACTCCAAGAGCAGGGGAGACTTCAGGACCAGCAGATAATACACTCACTGGGAGCCCACAAGAGCTCCTCCCTTTCTAGACTATTCTGGCTACCTGGGTTTATAAATTTTGAGTATTGAGAATATAACATATAGGCCTCTAATTATATTCTGGGTCCAAATCACAGTGCTTGCAGGACACAGAGTGCCTCTCAAGAGGTTCACATCAAGAGACTTCGATGAGGAGCATTACAGATGAGTAAGTAGTATGTAGACAGTCAAAGAGAGGCAGAGAGGGAGAAAAGAAGAAATTCTATAACCATTCTCTTCTCCTTTAAAACTTTGACCAAAAGCAACAATAAGTTAGAAGTCATGTAATCTGTGAGGTCAGCCTTTCAAACTCAGAACAGGATATAGAAGATCTAAGTGTTTAAGGGGAGGCTGAGAACAACCAGTACAGAAGGAAAACAAAAGTAAAACTTCTAGCTATAACTAGAACTAGTTAGATATTAAGCACATGAGGTTGTACTCCTTCCTTTTAGTAAATGTTATCAGGCTTCGGAGCTTTTTGTTGTTGTTTCGTATCTTGGCCTGATGCAAATGTTCTTGCTTTACTATGAATAATTCAGAATAGTGCTATTATGCTTATGCCAGTTTAGTAAATCCTGGAGAAAACTGCATAATTCAATAAATTAAGTATATACATTTCTCGATTCTTTTCCACTTAACAGATGTAGCTGTATATTCACACAGTTATTTGTAGATGATGTAATTATGAAATCCACTTAGGAACATAAAAAACATGTAATTGTTATGTAAAAAACTCACCTCTTCCTTTGCTTATGCAATAGTTTCTTAGTTATGACACCAAAAGAAAAAAAATAGATAAATTAGACTTAATCCAAAACCGTCATCCAAAGTTTGTCCTTTGAAAAGTGCTCGTACTTCAAGGACACTATCAAGAAAGTACAAAGAACACACAGGACGGGAGAGAGTACTAGCAAATCATTTGTCTGGTCTAATAGGGACTTGTCTCCAGCATATGTAACTCTTAAAACTCAGTAACAATAACAACAAGCAAACACATTTAAAATAGGCAAGGGGTTTGGGTAGACATTTCTCCAAAGAAAATATACAAATGGCCAAAAACACATGAAAAAAGTGCTCAATGTCATTAGCTATCGGGGAAAGAAAAGTAAAAACCACAATCAGACCCATTAGAATGGCCAAAATAAATTTGACCATAAGAGTTGGTGAGGATGTGGGAAAATAGGAACCCTCAGATACTGCTGGTAAGAATGTAAAATGGTGTAGCCACTTTGCAAAATAGTGCGGCAATTTCCCCAAAAATCAGTATTATTCTAGGACTGAGTATTTCCACCCATACAGACATATCCAACATAAATAAAAACCTAAATCCACACTAAATTTTGTACATAGGTATTCATAGTAGCAATATTCATAATAGCCAAAAAGTAGAAACAATGAAAATGTGCATGAACTGATGAATGGATAAACAAAATGTGGTGTATCTATCCAATGGATTATTATCTGTTAATAAAATGACATTCTGATATATGCTACAAGGTGGATGAACCATAAAACTTTTATGCTAAATGACAGAAGCTAGTCATAACAGACCATGTATTATCACATAAATATGATCCCATTTATATGAAAGGTCCAGTATAGGCAACTCTGTTGACAGAAATTAGATGAGCACTTGCTAGTGACTAGAGAGAGTGTGACTGCTAATTGACTGCTAATGGGGATAGAGTTTCTTTTTTTCTTTTCTTTTTTTTTTTTAGAGAGAGATTTTTTTCTATAGGGTGTGTGTGCTGGCCAGAAATACAAAGAGACAGAAAGCAAGAAATCATCCCCCAGGAGGGATGGCCATGCCACAGTTTCTTCTCCTCCATTCTCCTCTCGGGATTTGGGCCATGCACAAACATGTGCCCAGCATAAGGTTTAAGCCACCAGGTCAGGGACTCAAACTGTTGTTGTTTACATGGGAGTCCAGTGATGTAACCACTATGGCATCTACTGATCCCTAGAGTTTCTTTTCAAAGTGATGAAAATGTCCTAAAGTTAGGTCGTAGTGATGGTTACACAGCTCTGTGAACATAGTTAGAACTACTGAATCCACTTTAAGAGTATGAGTTTAAAGGCCAAGTGTGGTGGCACAGGCCTATAATCCCAGCAGCTCCAGTGGCAGAGGCAGGAGAACCACAATAGCAAGACCTTATCAATAAATTAATTAATTAGTTCATTTTAAAAAGGGTGAGTTTTATAGAATGTGAATTATATCCAATAAAGCTGTTAGAAAAAGGCAAACATTATTTGCTTTAACTTAGAGCTAAAATAAATTATCAACATATATAGTTAATTTTTGTTTATATTTGGTTTAATTCATAAAGGCTTTTAAAAAGTCATAATGGGGAACCAGCAGTTAGCGTAATGGCTATGTCGCTGGACTCCCACGTAGTCGACCGCGGTTCGCGTCCCGGACCCGTTGGCTTAAAACCCACGCCGGGCGCGTGTGCGTGCGTGCCCAAGATCCCAAGAGGAGAATGGAGGAGAAGGGATTGCGGTGTGGCCATCCCCTCGGGGGGTGATTTCTTGCTTTCTGTCTCTCTGTCTCTCTCTGTCTGTCTGGCGAGCGCACACGCCCTATAGTGAAAAACCTCTCAAAAAAAAAAAAAAGTCATAATGTTAAATAGAGTAATATTTTTAAATGTTTAGTTTACATTTTAGCATCTCCTTTTCTTTGTTAGGTTTTTGCCATAGAGTGCGTGTACTCACTGAAGAAAGAAAAAGAGAAACAGTGAGCGGGAAAGTGAGAAATCACCCCCAGGAGGGATGGCCACACCGCAATCCCTTCTCCTCCAATCTCCTCCTGGGATTTTGCTTATATACACACATGTGCCTGGCATGATTTTTAAGCCACCAGGTCTGGAACTTTAACAGCAATCGACCATGTGGCAGTCTAGTGCCTTAACCGCCTCACCACCTGCTGGCCCTGACATCTCTTATTCTGAATCAAGGTAACTTTGTTGATTGTGATTACATTATCTTAAGACAGTATAATTACTTTGTTCTTAACAGCAAATTTAAAAAATCCTTCAGATGGTGTCAACTTTTCCATAACTACATGTTTGAGGGGGCTTTAAAAAGTTCATGGAAAAATGGAATTAAAGTTTGAGGTCATTTTGATGCAAAAGTTTTTGAAATCCATGCACAATTTTTATAATATGCATTTCTATGAATTTTTGAAGAACTCTTATATTCCCATCCTTTACTATTTTTTTAAATGGTCACTTTTGTGAAAACATTATGCACTTTAAAATAATCAGAGGAGGGGGGGAAATACTGCAGGGTTTTCAGATGTTTCTGTCTCTGTTATATTTTAAAAAGTGGGAAAAGAGAACATTGGTATTATTTTGAGATCTCTGTGTTCTGCGCAGCTGTCAAACTCACAGCCAAAGTCACCATGACTCTCTGACCTTGGCATCATCCATGTACTCCTTGGGATTATAAATTGGAACACAGTAAAACAGACTGAGCTTTTGAGGCCTACTAGACTTAAAAATAGTTCAAAAGCCAAACTCAGTTGTACTTATCATTTAATCTGCTTACCGCTGGTCTGGCAACCATTAAACATGTTGAACTGCTCAGAGAAGTTCAGCAACATGCGAAAGCCACTTCACAACAGGATGGTTGTTTCGGAACGGATGATGCACTGTCTGCTCTATTTCCCATTAAGAATGGATGAAAGCCCTTATGTAACAGAACTACCACTGTGCAGTCTGTCCTCCAAAGCACCATTCCTGGCCTTAGCGAGGGATTAGGAATAAAAGAAAATAAAAATATAGTTAGACAAGTAGGAGGCCTTCCTTTCAATTAAACTAACTTAATGTATTATCAGAGGGGCATTCTATATGCTTCTTGATGATTGGTAAGTGAGCTTCAGAGTTAAGCTTTTATTCATCTGTTTGACAAATATTTATTAAATGTTTATCATACACCAAGTTTATATTTTATGAATATATGTGCTATCATTTAATGAAGGATTTGAAGCAATACATGAGAATATGTATAATGAGATGGAAATAATTAAAAGTCACCGCACAGCCCAGGCAGCTGGATGGTAGCACAGTGGTAAAGTACAATGCTTTTCAAGGCCTTCTCATATGGGAAGGCTCAAAGTTCACACGTGGAGACCTCTCTGAGTATGCCAGGCACATACATGCCTTTTATCTGGGAATAACTGAACTGAGAATGGATCGTGGCATCAATATTCTATTGGTGGTCCTCTCTGTCTCTAACTCATGAAAGGAATAAACTTAAATACAAACTAAAAGATCAAAACCATGGGGAAAATGAGATATAGATGTGTAAATTCTAGTTGTGAAAGGTTATTCTCTAGCGTGGCTTTCCTTTCTGTCCATCTAAGCAAAAACAATTATTTATGTGATTTACATTGTAAAAAAAAAAGGGCATTGCAGTTTATCTTGAAAAAGTTAACTTGGGGGAACCAACAGTTAGCGTAATGGCTATGTCGCTGGACTCCCACATAGTTGACCATGGTTCGAGTCCCAGACCCGGTGGCTTAAAACTCACGCCGGGCACGGGCGTGTGTGTGCCCAAGATCCCGAGAGGAGAATGGAGGAGAAGGGATTGCGGCGTGACCATCCCCCCTGGGGGGTGATTTCTCGCTTTCTGTCTCTATGTCTCTCTCTGTCTGACTGGCGAGTGCAGAGTGCACGCACCCTATAGTGAAAAACCTCTCCAAAAAAAAAAAATTTTTAACTTGGTAAAGTAGGAAACAAGTAGAGTGGCTTGAAATGAAGTCTGAAGAAAGCAGAAACTACATAGGAACTTAAGACTAAGAAAGTCATATTGGTCTGACTGAAAATGGTCATGGAATTGTATATCTAGCAATGCAAAATTTGACAGAGAGGAAGAAAAGTACATGAAGATGACCAGTATCTCTTGGTTTAACTCTTCAGTCACTGTGGTCTTGAGCTCCAGAGGAAACAAAAAATTGTTCTGTCCATTATTTCTCCCTGATTATGACCATGTAGTCAAACTCATGCATTGTTTTTAATGTCAGAGGGTGTGCATGCACACACATGCTCACTCATACACACACATGTACACATGAAAGAAAGAGAAAGCACCCCAACAGGGCTTAATCATGCCACAATCCTTTTTACACCAATCCTCCATCCTGTCAGGATCTCAGGCACACGCACACACCCAGCATGAAGCTGCTAGAGCTGCGACTCAAACCATAGTGGACCATCGTGGACCATGCTGTGCCATGGGCTGGCCCATGTCATGCTTCTTGAACAATGCTGAGTGGCCTGCTCTTTACCAGACTTGGCATACAGCAAGTGCAATCAAGTAGAGTCCTCAATCTTCTTAATCTTGAAAAGCATTTCAGATCAGACAGTTACTAGCAGATGAAACAGAAACATATGTTTTAAAGAATCACTTAACATCAAACTATGGCATAAAACTTCACCAGAGCACAATGTAGTAAACTTTGAGTCAAACTTGCAGGAACCTAGTGGTGACTGGATTTTTTATCACCTTGGAGGTAGGGATGAAATCCAAATTGCAGAATTTATAAGAATCTCTGGGTTGGCCTCATGGACTAGCAGTTAGGGGAGTCAGACCCCTCATGGTTCAAGTCCTGGCCCTGGCAGCTTAATAAATTCTCAGAGCACCCGTGCATGCATGCATGCCCAATATCCCAACAGGATGGAGAAATAGAGAAGGGATTGCAGTCTAGGCACACCCCATTGAGGGGTACTTTCTCCCTCTCTGTCTCTTTCTGTAGAGCACACATGCCTTCTTGCAAATAAGTAAACAAATATATATATATATATATATATATGTGTGTGTGTGTGTGTGTATACATATAATTTTTTTTTTAGAGAGGTTTTTGCTATAGGGTGCGTGCACTCACTGGAGAGACTGAGAGAGACAGAAAGCGATAAACCACCCACCCCCTGGGGGATGGCCATGCAATCCCTTCTCCTCTGTTCTCCTCTTGGGATCTTGGGCACACACGCACATGTACCCAGCATGAGTTTTAAGTCGCTGGGTCTGAGACTCAAACTGTAGTCAACTATGTGGGAGTCCAGCGACATAACCACTATGCCATCTATATTTTTAAAAAATAATTTTCAAAAGAATCTCTTCTGTCTTTGTCTGTAGCTGTCACTATTGTCAAAATTGAGAAGTAATGGAAAGGATATCTTTACCTTCAAAAGGCCTTTAAGGGGAAGGGGAAGTGTTGCTTGTTAGGAGCCCATATGGTGCCATAGGTTAGTTTGGGGTGGATGTCAGGGAGGTAATATCCTGAACATCAGAGGTAGGTGTGGCTTTGCCTAAGGTTGCAGCAGGGGAGACCCTGCAGTTTTCAAATGAGTCAACTGCTACTGCCATTTTAGATTTGCCATATGGACGTTGGAGCTCACGCATTTCATGTTTTCACCTCCCCTCACATCTCACCCAAGGACAACTCTTTGCCTTGGTTTCTCCACCTGCAAAATGGGTTACTGACTTCTCAGGGATTCTAAAAGGATAACTTTTATTCACCAAGCAGTGTCTCCGTGTTTGCTGTTTTCAATGAATAACCTTTTTCTTTATCAGTTTTTGTTTGTTGTTTCATAATTCAGCCTGTTGTTTTCCCTCCACACCTCTACCCAAACAGGTACCCTCTTTGCTTGTGTTGCCTTCTTAGAAACACTTGGTGGAGTCACTGCAATTTCTACTTTTAATGGAATTTATTCAGCCACCGTTGCTTGGTACCCTGGCTTCACTTTTTTGCTGTCCGCGGGGCTGTTACTAATTCCAGCAATCAGTCTGTGGTATGTAATTATGTTAATTGTTTTTGTCAAAGGGCAGATGGGTTAAGTGAATTCCCTCACCCTAGCAGTGAAATGACATAGATCTGTTGAAGTTTTGCCTCAGACTATGCTTTTCTCAGGATTTTAAACATAAAGACATCTGTCAAAAATTTTGGAAACTTAGAAAGGAAAAGATGATCAGGCTACCCGAAGGCTACCTAGAACTAGGGGAAAGAAAGGCTGGGAACCAGCAGTTAGCATAATGGCTATGTTGCTGGACTCCCACATAGTCGACCGCAGTTCACGTCCCGGACCCGGTGACTTAAAACTCACGCCGGGCGTGTGTGCATGCATGCCTAAGATCCCAAGAGGAGAATGGAGGAGAAGGGATTGCGGCGTGACCATCCCCCCTGGGGGGTGATTTCTCGCTTTCTGTCTCTATGTCTCTCTCTGTCTGTCTAGCAAGCGCACACGTCCTATAGCGAAAAAAAAAAGAAAGGCTGGGTTAGAGATCTTTGAGAGAATACATCTTCTTTAAATGTAAACAATTGACGAAATTAGCACCTAAGAATAGAGATGTACATATTCAAACTGTTTTATCATCTGAGGGCATAATATCCCCTTATGGTAAGAGATCACTGCAATAAGGTTTACTTTAATATAGATTTTAATGGACAAATATTAAGAATTCTGTTTCCAGATAATTGACTTTCTTTTAAAATGTAGAAATTAAAATAAATACAAAGTACACAATTTTACTCATGAATAGTATATATAATAAAGTGATGGATCAGAACGTAAATTAAAAAGAAATATTTATTTCTCCCTTTGCCTTCAAATTAGCAAAAAATGTGACCCAACTATCTCGTGGTTGCTAAAAAGCCTAAGTAAATACATTAGACACATTCTCTGGGGCCAGAGTTTTGAGGTCCAACTTCATTAACTGGTCTCCACTGAGGTTTGTCCATTTTATTTATTTTATTATCATGAATAAAATAAACTTTAAAAAAAAAGAAACTATTCTCCTATTGGATTAGCAAAGTTACAAATACATGCTGTGCTTGTGAGCACATGATGAGACAATTGATCTTAAATGTTGCTGGTGGTAGTGTTATTCAGCTTTTTCATAAAGCCATTTGCAAACGTGAATCTAAAGCTTTTTAAAAAGTTCATAGTGATTGTTCATAAGTCCTTTTGGAAACTCATGCTAAGGAGGGACCAGCAGTTAGCGTAATGGCTATGTCACTGAACTCCCAAGTAGCCGACAGCAGTTCCAAGTCCCGGACTCGGTGGCTTAAACTCACGCAGGGCGTGTGTGCATGCGTGCCCAAGATCCCAAGAGGAGAATGGAGGAGAAGGGATTGCAGCATGGCCATTCCCCCTGGAGGGTGATTTCTCGCTTCCTATCTCTCTGTCTTTCTGGTGAGCATACACGCCCTATAGCAAAAACTTCTCAAAAAACAAACAAACAAACAAAAAAAACTCATGCTGAGGAAATAACCAAAAACTGTTGATAAAAATTGATAATATGAAGAAACTCATTATAGTAAAAAATTTTAAATGACCAAAATGTCCAATAATAGAATTTTTAAATAAATGATGGTACAGCCATATCACCAAAAATAAAATAAATAAAATGACTTAATAAGAATTACACACATGAGGAATAGAATGATTAGTTTTTATCATTCATGTGTTTATAAATATTGTTATAAGTAGATGGATAAAAGGTAATAGAGACCATTTAAACCCTATACTGCTCAATATTTTTAAAATCAAAATTATGTGCTGTTTTTAATAATTTCCAAATGTCCTTGCTTCTTAGCTTCAGTTATAATGTTTAAACAGGAACCTCATAACAGCTTTAGTTGTAACTCATTTATGTGGGTAACACAGAGTACACAATGAGACAGATGGCATACCTTAGGGGTCTGGAAGAGAAAAACTCATGTAGGTCTTTATTATTTTCAGAATGCTACACATGAGTCAGTTGGATTCAAAATGCCAGGACACTCCTTCTATTTGTAATTTACATGATTCATTAAAAGTCACATAGCCCAAGAAAAGATGGAATGCAGATTACTTACGTATTATGTATTGCCTTAATCTTGATTTTTAAATGTCTTGTTTGCTTTTGTAGTGTTGTCAAGTGTACCAGCTGGAATGAGGGAAGCTATGGACTTCTTATACAGGAAGAATCCAGTGAAGACACTTCAGACAGATGATTGTGATTTTTTTTTTTTAAATTAATGCACGTCATACTCTGTGACTTCTAATGAACATTAACTCCACAGTCAGCATATCATTCGTTGTAAATGTTAGATATCCTTTCTTCTACACTGAATACTCAGAGAAACTGCTCCTGGCTTCAGCTTTTCACACTTTGGGCACTTTGTACACATCATGCAATATAGTTCTAATACACAAAGGGACAAATCTCAAACCCTTCTCACTTTAAGACTTATAAAAGGGCATCTAGAACTTAAAGATGTAGGAGAGATTAAGGAACTCGAAGAGGTCAAAAGCAGTAATCTCTCTGATGTACACTGGTCTCTCAAACAGAGACCAATGAGAACTCTTTACCTCAGTTTCCTCATCTGCTAAATGGGTTTCTGACCTCTCTCAGGGAAAAATTATGATGAATCACTCACTGCAAACAAAAAAGAAATGATATATGTGTAAGATACTTGCAGTATAATTTTACCTATACTTGGGTAATGCTTTGTTTTATAGAGCCCATCAAGGTGCTTTTGATAGTTAATGCTGTTGATAGACACAAAATCCTTACAAGGAAAGCACTTTAAAGAATATATCTTTTCACTTTTCCTAGTATGTTTCATCAGTGACAAAAATAACATTTCTATGTATAACACAGGTGTGACTGGGAACAAATAACATTAAAAATTTAATTGTTTAAAATAAATTTTAAAACTGAGCAAATAGCTAATCATAATATAATGAAACTAATATTGAAGACCCAGTATTTGTTCCTTATTTATTTATTTATTTATTTTCGGAGAGGTTTTTGTTACAGGGCATGTGCACTCACCAGAAAGAACAGAGAGAGACAGAGAGAGACAGAAAGCGAAAAATTATACCCCATGGGAGATGGCCACGTTGCAACCCCTTCTCCTCCATTCTCCTCTTGGGATCTTGGGCACGCATGCACACATGCCCAGTGTGAGTTTAAGCCACCCGGTCCAGAACTCAAACTGCGGTCAACTGCATGGGAGTTCAGTGACGTAGCCATTACGCCATCTGCTGGTCCCTGTTCCTTATTTCAATAGGCTATCAACATTCCTTAAGCCCTAGCTGGAAATTCTACCTCTGGTCTTTCCTACCCAGCTCTTATTCATCTCCCCAGTGCACTGAGAAGGGCATTTCTAACTCTCCAAGTTAGAATCCCTTCGCTTCTGTGCCCCATATGAAAACGGTCAAACAAACTAGCTAGTCAGGATATGACCGCTTCCTATCTCATTTCTTACTGCTTTCCACTCATCCTGAGACCTACCTGGTCTTTGGAAACAATACATTCTCTTATACCTCCATGTCTCTTTATACACTGTTCCTTTGCCCTTTCTCCCACTTTTAAGTGTCAGTTAAAACAGTGTTTTCTCTGTGTAGCCTGCCTTCTTGAAATCCCACTCTACTCTCCCAAGGCTCCTCTAGGTTTTAGTATATACTTCCATTCTAGTATTTTCCATTGTAATTGTTTATTGCTCCTACTTGACAATTATTGCCTTGAGGACAAGGGTAATCTTTGATTATTCATTATATCTTCAATAAAGTCTCTTTGAACTAAACTGCATGACTATAAAACATTATTTTAACTTGTAAAAAGTCACTCAGAGCTATATATTTAATGTCTTATAAAAGTAACCACTAATATTCTACCATCAGGAAGCCAGTCTTGTCAACAAATTGAAAATATGCTAGCGCATACACTGAATATTGATTTATAGTAGTTTTATAATTCCTTCAGTGTCTCCTATTTTTTTTTTTTTGAGAGGTTTTCTTCACTATAGGTCATGTGCTCTCGCCAGACAGACAGAGAGAGACATAGAGACAGAAAGCGAGAAATCACCCCCCAAGGGGGATGGTCACGCCGCAATCCCTTCTCCTCCATTCTCCTCTCGGGATCTTGGGCACGCACGCACACGTGCCCAGTGTGAGTTTTAAGCCACCGGGTCCGGGACGTGAACCGCGGTCGACTACGTGGGAGTCCAGCGACATAGCCATTACGCTAACTGCTGGTTCCAGTGTCTCCCATTTTTTAAGTTGCCATGCGTAATAACATAAATTTTCAAACATTTTCCAGGTGATTACAATATATGGCTAGAATAGAGAATCACTACTCTAGGTCAGGGTTCAGCAAACTTCCTCTGTAAAGGGCCAGAGAGTAAATAAATATCTTAGACTTTTTAGTTACACAGTCTGTCACACTATTCAACTCTGCCATTGTTGCAAACATAACCAAAGACCATACATAAGTACATGGGCATAGCTGTGCTCCAGTAAAACTTTATTTACAAAATAAGCAACAAGCTAAATTTGGCCCAGGGTCAGTGGTTTGTAAAACACCCTCTCCAGGTATAAGGCACAAATAATTTGGCTACTGGAAAGCTATTGTCCTTCTTCATAAATATTGGCATTTCAGTTTAGAATGCTTAAAATAGTGTAAACGGAAAACTGTATAGTGCCCAGATCAGTGGAGGCTTAAAAGTCAGTTTCATTTGATTAGCTGAAGTCCAACTGGTCTGGTTGCACTTACAGAAGGAGGTTTCTTCACCTACATAGCCTCAGATCATTGCTTATTTAGCAACTGCTCTCCTAGGGAAGATGTATAGGTAGAGTATGACCGAACAGGAGCCTAATCCAAATAGTTTCATTGCCAAACATTTAAGGAACAAGCAAATCGGGCCCCACCCCCGGGCCTACGCAGTGGCAGCGCCGCCTGTGCGCCCCACCCCCGGGCCT